GAAGGAAGTAGTAGTGGTATAAAGTATATATGTGTTCTTGTTTTCCTTTGGACTTCAGAACAAAAGGTTGAAAAACATGGAAATTATATAAGCTGTTCTCTTTACCAAAAATTTGGACAACACATTTCAATAAAAATGCACAGACATACAATTGGGTAAACTATATACATATTTCTTATTTGTCCAAATGTTCATTTCATATTTATTGAGCACTGTTTGGACACTGGCATTGTCTGGTTAGATTTACACCTCTACTAGATGATTTCTTTGGTTCCTGTTCAGACATTGCTTAGTTGATTTAGTTAGTATGTATGTGAATTTCCTACTCTTGCCCCACTAAGATTGACTTCTTTCCTGGCCTGTGTAATTGTATGTGTATTACCAGCTTCCGCTGCCCCTTTATTGAAGGGTTAAAATATTAAAGTTGTCTTTAATCCTTCACTTGACTTTTCTATTCATTTAGCTACCATCACTTCTCCATTTTTAAAAATTTATTTATTTATTTGGTATTGGGGGTTGAGGCAGGGGCATTTACCACACTGAGTTATGTCTTTGGTCCTTTTTCTGTTTTTTACTTTGAGACAGGGTTTCACTAAATTGCTGAGGCTGGCCTCGAACTTATAATCTTCTTGCCTCAGTCTCCCCAGTAGTTGGAATTATAGGAATGTGCCATCACACCTGGCTTCCATTCATTCTATCACTTGACTCAAACCTTATTTCCCCATGTACGGGTTCTTGCCACAATATGCTCTACAACAAAACATGCCCAAACTCAATGAATAGTGAGCATTTATTCTAATTCTTACTAGAGTGAACTGTGTTTTGGCCTGAAACCTAGACTGTTTAGCTCATCCTAGCTTCTAGCTGCACTTTTGGTCCAGTTTTGAACCATGTAATGTTCCTATTCATTTTATTTCAAGTTAGTATTTTGTAATAAAATGTTAAAAGACAAATAAAATTAACATATGTATGCTTCCTTTATAGATTTAGCAGTTAACTTGCTGTCAAATTTGTTTTTCTTTATTTTTATATATACATTTTCATAAATCATTTTAAAGTATAAAGCATATATCACCCTTTAATACTTCAGCATTTGCTAAGAATACAGGCATTTTTCTAATAATAGTAGTATTATTCAAGGAATTTATAGTCCTAGAATATCATCTATCTAGGGATATTTAAATTTTCTCATTTGTAATAATTTTTTTTCAATCAATTGTTTAAAAACTAGAGTCTGGTTAATTTCATTGTTTGCATTTGTTTATTCAATCTTGTTATTCTCTTTTCCAATCCACAAACATGTATATCTCTTCATTTATTTAGGTCTCTTTATTTTCTCTCAACAATGTATTGTAGTTTTCAGAGGTCTTTTACATTTTTTTAAAAAGTCACTCCTAAGCTGAGCGTGGTAGTGTATACCTATAATCCTAAACACCTGAGAGACCGAGGCAGTAGAATTGCAAGTTTGAGGCCAGCCTTGTTAACTTAGTATGAGACCATCTCAAAATAAAAAGTAAAAAAGGGTAAAGGATGTAGCTGGGTGGTAAAGTACTGTGGTACTGCAAATACATAAATAATTTAAATATATAAATAATTCCCAGTACTGCAAATACATAAATAATTTAAAAATTAAAAATTATTTGTAAATGTTTTATGTTCTTGACTGTATTGTAAATAATGGTTTTTATTTTCAGTTGCTTATTGCTAGTATAGAGATATTCAGTTGAATTTTTGAATATTGAATTTTCACCCTGTGGTCTGGTTAAATTATTTATTAGTACTAATTATTTCCTTATAGATTGATTTGAATTTGAGCACACAGTCATGTTATCTTCTTGCCATATATATATTTTGTGGGGGGGGATGGTTGGATTCTGCTCCATCCCCCCCAACCCTTACCATAATTACCAGGGATTCTAATACAATATGAATTTAATGATTACAGTGGTCATCCTTGCCTATTTCCCATATCTTTGAAAGAATTAAATACTTCACCTGTATTTCAAATACTTTAACTGTAGGGGTTTTGTTTTTTGATTTTGGTAGGTGGCTTTGACTATTTGAAGAAGTTTCCTTCTGTTCTGGTTTGCTGGATGTGTTTATTATGAATGCATAATATTGAATTTTATCAGATGCTTTTTCTGCATCAAGATGGTTAAATCAACCTTGCACTATAGAAATGAATTCCACTTTAGCATTATGTGTTATACTTTATTGTTGGATTTAATTTGCTAATATTTTGTGACAGGCTGTCTATGTTCATGAGGGATGTTGATCAGTAATTTTTATTTCTCCTATTGTCAGTTTTTGCTTTCAAAGTTATTCTGGCTTCAAAAAATGAATTAAGAAATGATCCCTCTTAAATAAAGAAAATGTTGATATTATTTGTTCCTGACATGTTTGGTAGAGGACCAGCAGTTTAGCTCAGTAGTAGAGGCTTGCCTAGCATACATACGCCTTGGGTTTGATCCCCAGCACTGAAAGGAAAAAAAAAACAAAAAACTGATTCACTAGTGAAGTCATATTGGTTCTAGAGTTTTCTTTCAGGAAAATTTTATATTAAAATATAGGGCATTTCAAGTTTCCTGTTTCTTCTTCAGTCAGTTTTTTGTTGTGTTGTTTTAATATTTTTTTAGTTGTAGTTGGGCACAATATCTTTATTTTATTTATTTATTTTTATGTGGTGCTGAGGATCGAATCCACCACCTTGCATGTGCTAGGTGAGCACTGTACTGCTCAGCCCCAGCCCCAGCCCCATTGAGTCAGTTTTTATTGATAAGACATCTATGTGATAAGATCTTTTTATGCCTGATAGTAGTAATTTGTGTCTCCTCTTTTTGTCAGTCTGGCCAGAGGCATATCATCTTTTTTAAAAACCTATTTACTTTTTTTCCTTCTGTTTTCTGTTTTCTCTTTCATTGATTTTTGTTTTCTTTCACTTGATTTGTCCTTATTTTTTTATTTTTATTTTTTTTATGTCCTGCATTACCAGCATCCCACAAATTTTGGTATGTTTTAGTTTTCAGTTCAAAATATTTTCCTAAAATCCCTATCTTCTGGTTTCATCATCTGGGTCATCTCTGAATCTGACTCTGTTGATTGTTTTGTTTCTAGACACTTTTTGTTTTGTTCTTTGTTTACTTGCTTTTTGGTATGTTTCATAAGTTTGAGTTGTAATAAAGTACGAGCTGAAGTAAATTCAAAGCCTGTAAATGGGTACACCTCATCTTTCTGCCTATTAGTGTGGCAATTAAGTCAGTCTAATCAGGAGTTAAGCTGGAATTGAGTATTTATTTGTTTGTTTGTTTATTTTAGTTACTGTAATTGCACCACAAGCCTCAGATTCCCCAGGTATTGCTTTGGGTTTAGAGTAAAAGTGGGTGTCAAAGAGTTCTTTTCTAGTTCTGCTTGCCTGTTCCATAGAGGGATTTCTCTTCTCACTCTTCTCCCTCATCAGTAGTATACTTGAGTTGATTGTTACTTGGTGCTTTCAAGATTGGTAGGGGGGAGGGGAGAGAAAGTGTTCTTTTTCTTGCTCTTATTTAAATTATGTGTACCTGAATCTCAAGATGGGACTTAAGAGTCGTGCCCCTCCTCCCTTTAGGAGCCAGATTCTTCTTTGCATCTTTAGTGTGTCTTGTGTGGAAGTGAGGTTATGAGGAATTTCCAAATATATTTTTTCTTACCGATTTTTAATTCCATTATGGACAGGGAACATATTTTATATACTTTTGGATTGCTTTCTTTTGTTTGTTGGAGGGTGTCTTCCCCACCCCGAAGTCTCACCATATGTATTCATGTTTTAAGAGTTTGCCAAAGAGGTGAGGGGAATCTACATGCAGATTTTTGGGGGCTTTCCCCTCTGGATTCCTTTCTATGATTTTTTTCCTTCCTCATTCTCTGGCCAGGCCAGCAGTCCCTCTCTCTCTGATGTATATATGGCTCTTCTCTGGTAAGATGTCTGTTTTCTGCCTGATCTCTTATCTCCTACTGCTCATGCTGATTTGGGAGTAAAATATGTTTTCTGTAGGTAATTAATTGTTTCCATGCCTTTTTTTTTTTTTTTTTTTGCCTTATTTGGGCTGCTTTCCAGTATTTTTACGTATTTGCTTTATTATATATGGTCCAGAGTTTGTAAATTGTTTTTGTCAGATGGATTAATTACAAATTATTCTGCCATATCTACCCCCAGAATTCCTCTACTCTCTTTTAATTTGGAACAACTCTCTCCTTTCTATGCCCATTACCTTGACTTTTTATAAGTCCTGGCAAATAGTAAAAGACCCACAATCTGGATTTCTCTGGTTGTTTTTTCATGGTTGTAATTCCTTATATCTCCTCTGAACTGGAATTTAGATCACAAGAGTTGATTAAATTCAAGTTTTCTTTTGATACATAAATGTTGTGTATACTTCCTTTTTTGCACTATTATTAGAAACACAGCATTTAATTATCCCAGTATTGTTAATGATTACTTTGATCATTTGGTTAAGGTCATTCTCTACATTGTAAAGAGTTATTTCTCCCTTTGTAATTATCAGGTAGTCTGTGGGGTGATAATCTGTACCCTCTTCATTTTTCACATCTATATGTCACCACTTAAAGTTTATTCTAATGAGATGTTAGATAGATTATGACACTTAACAAGCATTAGCTATTACTACTGTTATTTAAGTCCCTTACTCTAACCTGAAGTCCTTATAGTTTCTAGTTTATTCTAATATACCTTAATTATATATATTTTGTTCCATCTTATGGTTATAAAGATATTTACATTCCTCTTTTCTATTAGTTTTGTGTACTGAATGCAGTTGTCACATCTATGAATATGGTAGCACTTAACTAGCATATTGCATATAGTAGGCACTCAGTAATTATTTTTTTACAGGAAGTGAAAATTAGCTAAGAAATCACCAAAGGCTTTTTCTAATTAAACATTTTTCAGTCTCTGTCATTGATTAAACTTAATTATACTTTTTTTTTTTTTTTTTTTTTTTTAGGTAAATGAGAAGGCAGGACAGATTATACAGTATGATAAATTTTATATCCATGAAGTACAAGAATTGATAGACATAAGGAATGATTATATCAATTGGGTCCAGCAGCAGGCCTATGGAATGGTATGTTTCCCATGCATTGTGTGATTTCATTTTTGTATGTCATTTGCTCTAATATGAAAGTAACGAGTGTTTTTGAAACACTCAAGTTTTTTCAGAGCTTATTTTTCAAATAAAAACACATTACAGTGGAGTAGCTATATTTGTAAGCAAACATCCTCCTCTTCTGCCAAAGACAAAACAGAGACAGATTACATTTTTCTAAAGAAAAATGCAAATGTGACATATATTTTCAACTCTCATTTGTTTTCTATGAGCTTGTTTCTCTAATGCTGAGAATACTAGAGTCTCTGATAATAGAACTGTAAGAAGGTGTTATTGTTGTGGGACCACTGCTTCAAAATCAGAAGAAAACTCTAGGATTCTGTTTTCGATTTTTCCTTTTATGTGTTTAATTTTATTTTAGATTATTTATTTATATTCATATATTGCATACTTCTTTGCATCTAGCTAAGTGTTTAATAAATAGACAATATTCCATTAAAATAGTAGCTTAACTTTATAAAACTTTAATTAGGCACATGTAATTTTAATTTAGAAATGGGTAAATAGCTAGATACAAAGAAGCTTTAATATTTATGTTTGCTAGCCATTTTAATATACTTGAAGTCAACTTTTCTGCTTCCAGAGCAGGTAATTTGTATCCAGTGGTTATAGAAGTGGTTTATTCACCAGCAATTCTGGTAGTGTCTGGAATGTGTCAGGTAGAGATTTTAAAAAAAGGACAGTACTTTTTGAACTTGGTTTGCATGTTATTTTTAGGATACTCTCACTTTTAAGAATTAAGACACTGATAGAACATCTCTCCTTTCTTTGGTACTTGACTAGGAGAGACTCATTGGGTTTTTGTTTGTTTGTTTTCTTCTCTAGAATCACTGGGAGGTGAGATCAGGTTTATGGCCATTTTTTAGATTTAGATCTATTTATTTGTCATTCAACAAATACTTATTGAGAATCTCCTGTGTAAGAGGTACTAACTATTTGAAATACATTGGTAAACCAGACACATAAGGGCCCAAGTTTTCATGGAACTCATAATCTAATGGGCAAGATTAACATTAATCAAAGCAAAAAATATCAGTGAATAATATATACTATGCAGAGAATTAAAATCAGGGAACATTGTGAAGAATATTTTTGAGGTTGGGCCATCAGAAAATACTTGTCTGCCAAAGTATGAGTAATAGTCTGATGAAAAGGATCAGCTTTGTTAGATCAGAGTAGGGAGAATTTCAAGAAAATGAAAATCTAGTGGAAAACCATAGGTGTGAATAAACTTAACATGTTTAAAAGATAAAGTCAGTATATACAGCTAAAATATTGGGATGAAGGGGAGTCAGAGAAATGGAAAGGGACCAGATCATGAAGAGTTTAGTAAATTGGGATTAGGAATTGGAATTTTATCTAATAAAATTTGTTATGATAAACCATTGGTGGTAAGCAGTGGGAAGTATAATCTGATTTATATTTTTGATCACTTCATGGGCTGTGTAGAGAATGAAGTATGGGAAATAGGGCAAAAGTGGGAGACCAGTGGAAAGGCTATTTTAGAAAACTAGGGGAGAGAGAATGGTGGGTTTGACTAAAATAGCAGTTGTGTAGACTAAAGAAAGAAATGGATTTGGAATACTTCTTGAAGGTAAATGGGACAAGTGTCAGGACACAAATCACTGATAAATTGGCTATAAGGTGAGGAAAGAAGAGAAATCCACTAGGGGATTAAAAAGGAGTGGCAGGTGAGGTAGGAGAAAAAATAGGAGTGTTTTGAAAACCAAAACTAAAAAGTAATGAGAGCCTGTGTTGAATGCTGCTCAGAAAGAGAACAAAACTGTAGAATTAAGCAGTGAATTTGGTTACAAGGTTATTAGTAATCTTGATAATGGCATTCTAGAGTTGGGGTATTGCTAAAAAAGAAAATTGGAATATAGAAAGTAGTATCAACAACTGTGGGAATACTTTTGAGAAGGTCTGCTTTGAAGATGAGCAAAAAAGTCAACTGGTACCTGGAAGGGATAGTTTTTTAAACAAGAAAATAACTAACCTCAGAAAAGTTTTGAACAAGTATTTCCTTTTTCCTTTCCTATTTGAATAAAATCTCTACCCTAGGCAAAACTCTTCCTTCAAAGCACCTCTGAGAGAAGTAGAAATAACTTATTTCTTGAGTTTTTTAACCTTTCCTCAATTAGACTTGTTTGGGGGCTCATATTTTATCTTTGAATATACTGAAATGGCATTCTACAGGACATAACAGATGCTTAACTACAGTGTAAAAGTAATTAAATTTGTTTACCACTGAGAAAAATTGTTGCCCATGATATACTACGTAGGGCACCATAGGTCTTTGAACAGCATTTTTGAAGCTGTAGTGACAAACCTTTTTAAAGAAAAACAACTTCTTAAGAAGCCCTATATTTGCTTACATATTTGTATGATTATCTTAAATAAATATTTACACACATTAAACTAGTTCTAAACTCTACTCCTAAGCTCTTAAAAGAACTATAAAACCATAACAAATTTATAACTGTAAATAACACTACATATTTTTAATTCAAATTAATTTGATGTGGAGGATGATTATGTTCTGATTAGGAATTCCAGCTCACAACATAAACATTGGTAGAAAGCAGTGTAATCTAAGAGTGTCTAAGTTCAAATTCTACCTAAGCATTCATTCAGTTCTGTGTCCTTGGAGAAATCATCTGATTTCTTTAAGGTAATAGTACCTACTATATACAGTTGAGATAAGTGACCTGATCTCTATGAAGTATTTAAGGTAGTTCCTGGCACATAGTTAAGTCTTACTAAATGGTGCTTATTACTACTGGCAGACTGAAACAGGCTGTTTGTTTGGCAGTAGTCTCTTTTTGAAGTGTCTGATAACTGTCCTCTTGCTGCATTTCTGTGTCTGCACAATAATGAAACATTTGCCTTTAGAATGAGATGTGATATTCATTTGTCTTTTCCTCATAAGATTGCATCATTTAAGTATAAAGTCTTACACAATTACATCTTGTTGGATGATAGAACCATTGCAGGCATTGAAATTTCATGCAGTACTGGCTTTTTATAATACTGGGATGTTTATAATATTTATAGGATATAAATTTAAAGGATATATATTTAAAGGATATGTATTTATAGGATATAAATTGTCTTAGTTTTAAGTTTGACTAAAATTTTTTGTTATTGATCAAAAAAACACTGAATTTAAAACCATCCCAGAGCACTCATAAACTTTCTAAGCATATATCTCCTGGGCATCTACAAACCCAGTTTGAGAAACCATGTCTTGGAAACACTGAGAAAAATTGTTGCCCATGACATACTACCTAGGGCACCATAGGTCTTTGAGCAGCCAAGATCACTGTGAATTATATCACTTGTCCTTTAACCAAAATTTATATCTGTTAATATAAATCATAAACAACATGCATTTGACCAAGTTAATAGAAATGATACCTGTGATACTTTTTTTTTTTTAAGTAATTGTACTGTGGGGAAAAGGTATTGTTTGAATGTTCACTTTTCAGTTTGATAGTTCTGTCATCCAAATTCACTGTAGTATATAGTGATAGTGATTATCATATCAAATTGAATTTCATTAGGGAGCTATTTCAGCACTACTGTTTTCTGATAAGAGCAAGGCATTAAGGTCTACCTTTCTGTTCCTGGTCCTCTTTGCCTTCTCATTCTCTTAAATCTATTATATGGTTAACATACTTGAGAATTACCCACATATTTTTCCTTTCTCTCCATTTACTGACAGACATGAAATTAAATAGGTGGTTGTGGCAGTGAAAGCTTGTTCTTTAATTTTCAAAGTGGATTTAATAGAAATCAGAATCCAGAATCCATGACTTTGGTTTGTTTTGATCTCTCTTTGGGAATGAAGGACTGACAACCTACTTTAAAGGTCTTCATACAATTTTAAAATAAATTTTTAATCTATAGTATGACATCTGACCTCAGAGAGCTATCAACATACTTTAACACAGAACTCTTAATGATCTCTCTTCCCAAATAAGATTATGCTTTCATTACTAGTCTTAATACTGGGTTGAATGCCATGTTGACCCTATAAATCAAGTTTTAAAGAATCTGTTTTGTGATAATATAGTGTTTGTGTATATGTATTTGTATATACATATGAATATCTATACACATGTGCACATAAGTACTCGCGTACTTATACACATAAATTTGTGTAAAAAAAAATTTGTGTAAAAAAAAATTGATCAACAGTTATGGTCTTGAAATAATTTCATTGCTTCAGTGAGAAAAGTTTAAAATATTCTTTGATAGAACATAATGACGAACAATAGTAAGAAACTTGTTTCTCTTAGTAACCATTTTATTATGTATGTATGTATGCCTACACACATCTTGTATATGTTAAATATAATAAAATTTATTTTTAAAGTCATAATTTTATATACATATATAAATATAAAGCTTTATCTTGTGCTAAATACTACAAGAAAATTATTTTGTCTTTATGCCATAATTTGTTGGGATTCTCCCCACCCCCCCCCATTACCTTTCTTTTCCAGTCAAGGACTTTTAAGAATCCATTATGATTCCTAAATCTTAATAACTAATAGTTCTTGACTTTCCTTAAACAGGTTGATCATCGTTAATTTCAGAATCCAAAGATGCTCAAAAAGTTTTGGATTTTGGACTCTCAAATTAGGTTTGCTCAATCAGTAAAGTGTATGCAATATTCCCAAATCTAGTCCCAAACATTTCAGCTAAGGGATATGTCCTTTTGTTTTGCTGAGATTTCCTAATTTTCCACCTCATCCCCTTCCATTCTCCTGTCCTTTTTCAAGTCTTTCTGGTTAAATGTCTTTGTGAAATCTTTGCTTGATTTCTTTTACTCCTGCTAGTTACTATCTAGTCTGTGGTTTTGTTCCCAAGGCTCTGATTTTGATGTGTGAAAATATGCAATTGGATTCCTTTGCTTTTTATCTCCCTCTGCTTGTGACCCTTTGGCAACATAAAAGGAGCATGTATGTTTTGTCTTTTTCTCTTTTTTTATCTTCTGCTATTTGATGATTTTTCTCTACTTCCTTTATTCTGTACTGACTTGCACATCTCATACCCTCATTTAACTTTGCTCTTCAATTGCTTATGAAAACACCTTAGTTAGTAGGTAACTACCAAACTCTGCCATTTTTCTTCCCCTTTTATACATTTTGTTACTATACATGCATATCAATATATAGCTAATAAAAATTGACAATTCAGCATAAAATATAGAAGGGTCTAAATTGGGTCTATCATGTTTGAATTACAGTGAGATTCAAGTTTGTTTTTTCAAAAACTGGAATATACTTATGTGACACACATGCCAGATCCAAATGACTTTAGACTTTGTTTTGTTTTGTACCAGAGATTGAACTAAGGAGAGCTTAACCACTGAACCACATCTCTAGCCGCCCCCCTCCCCCCTTTGTTTTTTAGTACCAGGAATCTAATTCAGGGGCACTTGACCACTGAGCAACATCCCCAGCCCTATTTTGTATTTTATTTAAAGACAGGTCTCACTAAGTTGCTTAGTGCCTCGCCATTGCTGAGGCTGGCTTTGAACTCGCGATCCTCCTGTTGTAGCCTCCAGAGCCCCTGGGATTATGGGCATGTGCTACTTCGCCCATCCTTTAGCCCTTTTTATTGCCGAGGCTGGCTTTGAACTTGCATTCCTCCTGCCTCAGACTCCCAAATTGTTAGGATTATAGGTGTGTGTTCTTCACCCAACTGCCTTGGACCATTTATACTAACAAAAATAATGGGTAAAAAGATAGACTTGTGGAACAGCTAAATAGAGGAGCTTTGGGAAGATATACCAGTATTTAACTTGCCTAGGTTGAGTTTCTTCCCCATTTAATAAAATAAGGATGTTGACTAAAATATATTTGTACTCCCTTGTGGCTGTAGTATTTCCCAGAAAAATCCATCATTTACAACACTAATGTTTATTTTGCTTTTTTTAAAGCTCCCTTATCATTTTTTTTTTTTTTTTTTTTTTTTTTTTTTTTTTTTTTTTTTTAAATTTTAATATTTATTTTTTAGTTATCGGCGGATACAACATCTTCGTTTTTTTTTTTTTTTTTTTGTATGTGGTGCTGAGGATCGAACCCGGGCCGCACGCATGCCAGGCGAGCGCGCTACCGCTTGAGCCACATCCCCAGCCCTCCCTTATCATTTTTAAAGACATTAATATGTTGCAAGAATTCTTGGAGTGATCATAATGTCATATTCTTGCTCTATGCATTAGATCATCAAACATAATTTAGAAACATTTACTTCTCTTTTAACTGCCAAGACCACCCTTTTTATTTGAGTTGCCTTAATGTTCAGCATTTTTTCTTTATATCAGAGTAATTCTGTATTATGCCCCTTGTTTACAAAAAATAAAATAAAAAATCATTGATGTTTAAAACATCCTTAGTGAAGTCCAGTTTAGATCATGAAATCCTAACTTTGAACACTTCATCTAGTCCTTTGTCATTCCACCTTCTGGGACATCAAGTAGCTGAAATTAGACACACCTTAACCCAGTTTCAAGTTCCTCACTTAAGTAACAGCTAATAGTGCTGCATATGTGGATTTAGAGCTAGTTTAGCAATAAACCTTCAGTTGACCTCACAGTTTTTTTGCCACGACCACTACCACTTTTCTTTCCTTCCAGATTTCCTTTGGCAGTACTACTTTGTTGAATTATATTTGAGCTACTTTACAACACTAATGTTTATTCTGTCTTATTTTATCTTCCCCCTTCAGTACTGGGAATCAAACACAGAGAGTGCTCTACCATTGAGTTTTACCCCCAGCCCTGAAAGAAACTATTGTCAGTTATTTTCTTTCTTAGAAAAGAATTTGCGTAGAGTCATGTTTGGTTATATTTATACTACTTTGGCTATAAGCACAGTATAGTGAGAAACCTTAATTAAATCTTTGCTAATATCTTAAAGCCTCTAGTGAAGTTCATCAAGACATATGAAAATTTAGCCAACTACAAAGTTAGAAATTCCACACAGGACTATCCTCACTTCTGATACCAATTGCCAGTTGGGGTAAGGGATGTGTTCCCCAGACTACACTCAGACTCATAGCACTCTCGGAAAACTATTAGACTGATAATTGCAGTTTACTATAGGGAAAGGGTACATATTAAAATGTCCAAGGGAAGAAGCACATATAGCAGAGTCTAAGGTCCCAAAGACAAAATATCTTGCTTTTCTTTCCCGGGAAGTTATGGGTTAGTTACCTGGCATTGATGTCTGTGATATCACAAAAGATTGTTAACCAGTGAAGCTCACCTGAATCCTGGTGCCCAGAGTATTTATTGGGACTCAGTCACATCCTGCTTATGTGGCTTGACCTTTTCTAGAGATATAACTGGTACCATATGACCCAAGGCCCCATGGTAAATCACATTGTTATATTGTCCATGGATAAAGACCCTAGGCAAATAAAGACACTCCTATCAGACTTGGTATTTCAAACGCCTATAGATTACCTCTCAGTAGCCTAGGGCAAATACCCTGTCTTTGGTTAAGATTAGTTCTTCATTACATAAGGCACCATCCACAGATTTAGTGATATATTCTGAAGATTCTAGTACTTTTCATGAATCTAAACCATATATGGAAGCATTCCAAAAGAAAGTGTACTTTCCTTTTCAAGGAAATGGTAAGCTTTCATTATAATTTCCATTATTACCTTTATAAATGTATATTTTCTTCTACTTAACCTCTATGTTTGGTTTTTAAAAATACATAATATAAAATATCTTGTTTTTTTAACATTCAATAAATACCTCAAGATAAAAAAAAAATCTTGTATTTTTTTTTTAACTTGTTTTTGGCAAATAAAAACGAATGGTGGCTTATTATCCTTCAGGTTGTCTCCATGTAGCATTTTAATGTGTTAAACACTTGACTTTGTCCAGATTAACCAAGGCTTTTAAAGTCAGAGATATTTTCTCAGTAAAGAATCTGAGCCATAAAATTATTTCTTCAAGATGATATCAGGTTTAGGACTAGTTTCCTTATTCTACCTAAATTCTACAAATGGGGATACTTATTTGCTGAAACCAAATTTTATTATATTCAGGCTTTGATAATTTTAGGATCACAGGATACCTAAAACAAACTGTTACACTTACATAAGGGGCATATGGGAAGGGTACGTTTTGTTGTAGATGTATTTTCTACCTTGTTAATTCAATATTCAACTGTAGCAAAGCATATGAAATGCTACTTTGAATAGAAATAAATTTGGACACTAACATTGCTCTTTCCTCATTATTGTTGCATTCTGCACTGCTGTTTTAGGATGTCAGCCATGGATTAACTGAGGTAAGTTTGGTGTAATAGTCTTGTGTTCAGAATAGATATACTGTTTTTCCAAAGATTCCCCTTTGTGTGATTTAAAAAAAAAAAAAAGTGTGTGTGTGTATGTGTTTTTAAAAGTTGTCTATACAGATTGTTCTGTATAACATTTCAGAAGAATTTTCTGAATATTTAAACTTACTTTAGTTAACATTACTCTGTATGATGCCTTTCAATAAGATTGCTTTAGAAAATAGTTGCTCTTCTCCTTATCTTCCAGTATAAAATGCAATGTGTCCTTAGGGGGGAAAAAACTTTTAAAATTTGACAAATGGCTACCTAATAAAGCAAAGAATACTTTAGAGATGTAAAATGATTATTTCTAAAACTAATAATTGATATTTGAAATGGTCACTAAATTAAACTTTGTATAATCATCTTTTTTACTTTGTTTCATGTATTTTCTTAATGTATCAAATTTGACTTAAGTAATCAGTAGCCCTGAACCACCTTTTAACTCTTGGGAACATTATAGCACTTCTTTTCTCTGTTATAGATGTTAGGTTTTGCTTTGCTTTTTTATTTATTTGATAGTCTTTTCCCAGCATTTGAACCAATGAAGTACTTTGAGTTAGATTGAAATTACAGGTTTGATATTGTTTGCTTCCTCATTCTCAAACAGAAGTAGTACATAAATCAGTTGAAAACAGGGCTGGAAGTACAGCTCAATGGTAGGGTGCTTGCCTGGCATGCACAAAACCCTGAGTTCCATCCTAGCACTGCAAAACAAAAAAGAGAAAAAGGAAATTATTTTGAAGCCAAAGGGGACTTTAGAAATATCTAAATCTTTTTGAGTTTCAGAGAAGTAAAATGACTCCATGATCTGTAGCTAAGTTAAAACAAATACAGGATAGAGGCAAACTTTGTCACATACAAATATTAAAGAGTGATCATTGACTGTAAAATACATGTAACTTAGCATGTGTCTTATATATTGAGAACAAAGTTGAAAGTGATTAGACAATATTTGATTGGTTTGGGTGGCTCAAGGTGAGAGAGAAAAATAAAAATAATACAGATATAGGATAGGAAAGAGCTGGAAACAGTATTATTTTAAGAATTGTTAGGCTGGGCACAGTGGGGCACACCTGTAATCCCAGTGGCTCTGGAGGCTGAGGTAGGAGGATTGCAAGTTCAGAGCCAGCCTTAGCAAAAGGGAGGTGCTATAAGCCAACTCAGTGAGTCCCTATCTTTAAGTAAAATTCAAAATAAAGCTGGGGATGTGGCTCAGTGGTTAAGGGCCCCCAAGTTCAATTCCTGGTTACACCTCTGCCCCTCAAAAAAAGAATGGTCAGAAAAATTGGGAATGTTTAGCACAGAATAAAGACAATTGAGGGAAAGCATGGTTAGGACCTCAAATATTTAAACCATGTACACTTGCCTACAGAGGCAAAACAAAGGCAAGTGATATATAGAAATACAGGTTCAGACAATATAAAGAACTTTCTAGTCACTTAAAAAGAAGGGTATTGTTTCATATTCTTTTTTGAAAGCCTCATAGCAGAGATTATCTCAGGGCTGACACAAAAATATTACCTTGTTGGGTAGATTGTACAAATAGTCATCCTCTAACTGCAAGAATGTGTGACTGCTGATTATAATTCTTTGTATTTTTATGTACTGTTAGAATAGCATTCAGTCACTGTGTTAGGATAAATAAATGTAAAGTGTCTTAATGTCTGTTAATGGTACTCTGAGATCAGCTCTCATAACTTTAACAGCCAACAGAATAATAACACTAATGAAAAATTATCTTGAATGTTAAATGTGTGAAAATGTTCTTTGGTTCATAATTTTGGCAATGCCACTTACTATGTATCTGCTATATGAAGGATGGGGTGATTAATTTTCTGTGGCTTCAGTTGCTAGGATAGTTGTACTAACATGTTAGAGCTGGACATAGTATTTAACATGGGAGCTCTCAATTGTAGGATAAACCTAATTCATTGAAACTTAGAGTTAACATATGCTAAGTAAAAGATACATGTTATTTATGATTTTACAGGCTCTTAACTATATAGTTAACTTCCTAAAATTGAGAATTAGACTTATTCAAGTACTTTATGTAATTATCAGTAAAAATTCTATATTCAGAAATAAGCAACATGTTTTCTTCGTAATTCCCGAACTAGATGACTAAATAAACCAAGAATGTGATCATCTTTACAAGATATTACAACACCCACAGCAAATATATCACAAATCACTTGAACTAATATATTAATTTTTTATTTCTAGTTGGCAGATATCCCTGTTACAATCTGTACATATCCATTTGTATTTGATGCCCAAGCAAAAACTACTCTGTTACAAACAGATGCAGTTTTACAGATGCAGGTAAAATATTGTATAATAACCTGATTTGAGAATATTTTAAAAATTGTTTCTGTGATGTTTTTAAAAAATATTTGATACTTGCCCATAATCAGTAATCTTCGGGGACATTTGTAACATTGTAGTGTGTCATTTACAGAGTACCTTGAGTAGCTAGCCAGAAAGAAGACTTGTGTACCTATGAGAACTACTTACAAAAAAGTGCTCTGATGGAGATAGAATAATTTATCCTTAAAAGATTATATGTCAGTTTTTCATTATATAAATATGTAATTTTTCTTAACTAGTTTACTTGATATTGTTAACTTGTTTCAAAATCTTTGTTCTCTGTCATTTATATACATAGTAAAAAATGTAAATAACTAGAGATGAGTTGATATTCAAGTGGGAAGCATCTGTTTACTTGTTAGGAGGATATGAAATTTCCTTGAATAAAGTTTTAGTAATAAAATCTTTTCCTGAGGTTGGTAATCGTAATCTTTTATTCCTCTCTCCTGTTCCTTTCTTCCTGATTTTTCCTGTTTTTGAGCATTTTTTTCATTCCCAATGAAGATTTTTAGTTTATATTACATTTAATTTTAGTTTACATTATGACTTTGAAGAGTTACAGTAGATTTGCTTTATCACTTGTAAATAAAAAAGATGTTGAATTTACTCAGGTATAGAATATATGAGTATAAGTGCTAAGGATTAAGGAAACTGTTTAAAAAGAGATTTGAACTTTAATATTCTAAAAAGACTTAAAAAAATCAAAAACACAAATTTTTATTCTTTTCAGATAAATGCATTTGTTTTTCTAAGTCCTTCCAAACATTTTAATAATAAATAGTAGGGAGTATTTTAGAGATGTGCTCATTTTCATTTTCATCACCAGATAAAATATTTTTGTAGGGTTGTATATATTAACAGCTAGTAAACCAGTATTTTTTAAAAAAATTCTTTCTTAAAATAATTTAATGACTTGTGCTTTAAATATGGTATATTTTGTTTTAGAACAAGATACAATGTACTTCCTTGGCCAAATTGTTTTATAGTCTCTTTAAAGGTTTGTTTTATTCTGGTTTTTTTTTTGCTTCTCTCTCCATCCTGACCCTGCAGTTATTATTACATCGTTAGGAAAAAACAGTGCTCAGATTTAGCAATATTCTTATAGTTCTGTGCTTGCTTACCTTAATAATTTTGTGAGTTCTGCATTAATATAAAAAATTTCAAAAGGGTATGCTTTATGGTCAGTTTACTAAGTTCTTATGCTATAACTAGATGCTGTGTGAATTCAGTAATTTAAGAATTATTCCTGAAATTATAGCATACCATCTAACTGATAGGTAGATGTTAGCCTACACAGTCACAGTAGCTTCTTCATAGCATTGATATTAAAATTTTTTAATCTTTTGTTTTCTAGATGGCTATTGACCAGGCCCACAGACAGAACGTCTCTTCTCTTTTTCTCCCAGTGATTGAATCTGTGAATCCCTGCTTAATTCTAGTGGTGCGTAGAGAAAATATTGTAGGAGATGCAATGGAAGTCCTTAGGAAAACAAAGAACATAGATTACAAAAAGCCACTCAAGGTAATTTGCCAGATTCTTTTGTATAATTGGGACTTTTATTTAGAAATTGTTTTAAGTTTTCTTGTTTTTAGTGTATCTTTGAGACTTAATAAATAAAATAATATAATTACAAAATTTATAAAAACCTGTAAATTGCTGAACTCTTATTAGTAATATATAGCATGTTACAAGGCCTCCACAATTTACCATATTTTCTTACAGTTTATTCAGTGTTTGCATTTTGCTATTTTAGGTTATATTTGTTGGAGAAGATGCTGTGGATGCAGGAGGGGTACGCAAAGAATTTTTTTTGCTCATCATGAGGGAATTATTGGATCCTAAATATGGCATGTTTAGATATTATGAAGATTCCAGGCTCATTTGGTTTTCAGATAAGGTAAAATATCCAACCATCTAATTTACTACTTTGTATATATGCGTAGATTAATCAAATTACCCCAGAAACAGAGTTATTACTGAATTCCTGACATATTTTGTTCAGAGATCTGCTTTAATACAATTTGAAAAATTTTAAACTATTAGATTGAGTTGTCAAAACACATTAATGCTTACCACGTATTTCAGATTACACGAAATTTAATAAGGAATGGTCACCCTGAAAATAATGTTGACCTTTTCCTTCTGTTTACTTCAGTTTGGGAATTGAATCATAATTGCTAGAATAACTTTTCTTCTGAGAAGAGCTAATTTATCATCAGAGGTTATTTATGTTTCTTTTTGGGAAGAGTTGGCAAACTATGGTATATGAGCCAAAATCTTGCCACCACATATTTTTGTAGATAAAGTCATACTCATTTACCTATTATCTGTGTCTGCTTTTGAGCTATAACAACAGAAGAGTTCAGCAGTTATAACCCAACAGAACCTAAAATAATTACATCTGGCTCTTTTCAGAAAAAGATTTGCTGACTTATGATTAAGTAAAATGAATGGTTTAGTTTGCCACAGCTCAGTTAAAAGGTATTTTAGTTGAATATTTATGTCATTTATAAAAATCTTTACTATTTAGTTTTTCTTCCACTGGCTGTCTTGTGTGATAATAACAGTCATTGATGCTCAGTACCTGAGCATTAATTTGTTAGAGGTTGCAAATATTGCTACTGTGATTCTAATATTTCTTTTTTGTTTCCTGGTTTGGATATTTCTATATAGAAATTTCCCTACACTGTGTGATTCCTTAGTTCCAGTAGGTTGAGTTGATTCTCAAGTTGGTATGGAAAAGGATTCTATTTAGTTACTAATCTTTTAAAAGAATAAGTCTGGGGGCTGGAGTTGTGGCTCAGTGGTAGAGTGCTTGCCTAGCACGTGTGAGGTACTGGGTTCGGTTCTCAGCACCACATATAAATAAATAAAATAAAGATCCATTGACAACTAAACAATATTAAAAAAAAATAAGTCTGTTCATTAGGGATCTCAGTGTTGATAATTCATTTTTTGGTTTATTTTCAAGTACTACTTTGTTTTCATGGATTTCAATATATTTGGTATTTTTTAATACATTGTATATGTTATTTTTATTAATGCTCATATTTTACTGTCTTTGTCCAGGAAGAGTCATCAAATTGTTGTTAGTTCCCTTGAAGTAATTTTAGTACTGATCGGCAGCCCCTTGATACCGGGTGTACTTGTTGGACAAGCTGTTCCAGACTTACACATTTATTATCTAACAATACTGCCAATATTATGATTAGCGAAAATTTTTTTTTTAATTGTTCTTTTTGTTCTTATCCTATGTGCTAATAGATACACAGCTAAATAATGTTTTGATATCACTTGAAATTCTTATATACTGGTTATTCCACCAATAAAAACATTTAAATTAACTTGTGTTTTATTTTCAGGGATTCCTAGTTTAATTTAGTTTTAGAAGAATATAAAATATTTATTTAGTTCCAAAGTTAAATCTATAAAATAAGATATTAAAGAAGTTAAAATTTAACTTATTTACTCCCTATAAACTAGTTTAAAACTATAACTTAGTTTTAAAATAAATTTTGTGAATTAGCCCTTTTTTTTAACAAATACAAGTAGGCTGCGATATATTATATACCAAAGTCAGTTTTATTGTTTTTGTCTATGGTCATGTAAGCTGTTGTCATTGCTGAAACCTAGGTGAAGGATATGTGGAAACTCCAGTATTGCAATTCTTGAATCTTTAAAGTGTTTTAAAATTGGTATTTTTAAAAATCAGGGTATAGTGTACATATTTTATCAAGAGGAGACCTTTTAGCTTGGTATGGTGGCACATGCCAGTACTCAGGAGGATTTGACAGTAAAATTGACTAGTTCAAGGCTGGCTTAGGCAACATAATGAGACCCTGTCTCAAAATAAAACTTTAAAAAGAGCTGGGTTTAGCTCAGTGGTGGAGTGCTTTCCTAGCATGCACAGATCCTGGGTTCATTTCCAAGTACTGCTAAATAAATAAACAATTTGGGTGGGAAATTGTAGCATGTTTGCATGTTGTGATTAATTACTGAGAAAGTAAAAACACTGCTGTCAATTGTAGGAGCAAGATCCTTTAGTTGCAAAGAAAGGATAGGTTTATGTAGTAGTGGAGGGTTGACTATAATTCGATATATAGATCTGTATTAGGAGGGAAGGCTCAAGAGGGGTTGGGGGGAGAGTGTGTGTGTGAGAGAGAGAGAGAGAGAGTGTGTGTACACATGACTTGATAATTTTGATAATAGGAGGTTGTCAAAATTCTTGGAACTGATTCTGGTTTACAATGAAATAATACACAAAGTCTTTAAAGAGTTAAGATACAGAAAATGTATAGAAGATTTGAGGAAGGAGAAGGTGTGAAATTATCCTGAGGGGAATGGAAAAATAAGTTAACCATATAAATAAATGTAGGATTAGACTGGCAATCTTCAAGACTCACTTGAAGCTTAATGTTACTAAATTTAAAATGAAACCAGTTTGCATGGATAGAGGTAAAGACAAAGACTGTTGATTTGAACAAGGTTGTGGTTTTTAGCAAGTGAGTATGACAAAAGAGAATGATTATATTAATGTATCATGGAATTTAAGCTTTAAGAGGACTTGATGTGGAGTATTGTGTATTATTGATATTAATAAGTAATTGTTGAAGTTAATAGCTTGTAGATATTGGTAGAATCAAATTGTAAGGGGAACTGAGAAAGTTAGAGATAGTGATAAATTAGAGAAAGCTTCCATTTGAGATTTGGAGTGTTCCATATAACCATGGGAATGAGATGTGATGAAGACATGATTATTAGAAATAAAAGCAAGTCTGGGATCTGAGAAGCTACTGTGTGTAATTGCTGATGTTTCAATCTCCTGTTGTACCCTCTAGCTGAAAGATTTGTAAATTTTGTTGATCTTTTAGTTAGAAGAAACAACTTCTGGCTTTCTTGTATTTACCTATTCTGTATATTTTATCTCCACTTTAATCTTTTATTTTTATTTTCTTTCTTCTACAGATTGTTCTTCCTAGCTCCTTAGGATGTAAAGTTAGTTGTTAACTTGAGGTTCTTTTTTAAGTTATTTACAATTAATTCCTTCTGAACACTGCTTTCTTTGTATCCCATAAGTTTTCAAATATTATATTTTCATCTTTCTAGTCTAAGTGTTTTTTAATTTTCTTTTTGATTTCTTCTTTGTTGGTTGTTTTAAAGAGTGTATTGCTTAATTTCCACATTTTTCAACTTCCCAAATTTCCTTCTGATACTAATTTCTAATTTCATTGCACTGTGTGGTTGGAGATTTTTTTAAAATCATTCTAGTCTTTTTTAAATTATTGAGATTTGTTTTCTGACACAACATATTGTTTAGCCTGGATAGTGTTCCATGTACACTTTTAAAGAATGTGTATTCTAGCTGGGTGTGGTGGCATAGGCCTGTAATCCTAATGGCTCTGAGGGTCGGGCGTTAAGACCAGCCTCAGCAATTTAGCAAGGTACTAAGCAACTCAGTGAGAACCTGATACAAAATAGGGCTGCGGATGTGGTTCAGTGGTTGAGTGCCCCTGAATTTAATCCCCAGTACTCCCCGCCCCCCACCAAAAAAAAAGAAAAAAGAAAATGTATTCTTCTATATTGGGTAGAGTGTTTTATGTATGTCTGTTAGGTCTCAATTTATAATATTTTTCTTTTTTCCTGACTTATCTGTCTAGTTGTTTTAGTCATTATTGCAAGTGGGATCTTTTTTTTGAGAGAGAGAGAGAGAATTTTTCAATATTTAGTTATTTATTTTAGTTTTCAGCGGACACAACATCTTTGTTTGTATGTGGTGCTGAGGATCGAACCCGGGCCGCACGCATGCCAGGCAAGCACGCTACCGCTTGAGCCACATCCCCAGCCCCTGCAAGTGGGATCTTAAAGCCACTGACTCTAATTATAAAATAACATTTCTCCCTTCAGTGTATTTTGTAGTTGTGTTGTTAATACATGTTTGTAGTTGTTACAACTTCTTGATGAATTCTTTTCTCAGCATGCCTTTCTCTTTTCTAACAATTTTGTGTGGTATTAGTCTATTTTGTCTATTATTAGCATATTCACTCCAACTCTCTTTTATTAATATTGTGGAATATCTTTCTTCCAAGCTTTCATTTTCATTTTACTTGTATCTGTGGATCTAAGATAAGTCAGTAGATGGTATATAGTTGGATCTTGTTTGTTTAAAACATTCTGCCAGTCTTTGATTGCAGAGTTTAATCATTTACATTTAAAGTAATTGATAAAGAAATGCTTTTATTTTGCTCTTTTTAAATATATATCATACGTTTTTTTGTTAATTCCTCCATTACTGCCCTTTTGGTATTTGGTTTTCTTTATGTACTTACTTTGATTTCCTGCTTATTTCCTTTTCTGTTTAGTTATTTTCTTACTGTTGCCTTGGAGTTATAATTAACATCTTAAATTTATAATAGTGTAGTTTGAATTAATACCAACTCAACTTCAATGGTCTGTAGGAACTCTGCTATTACATAGCTTTGTCTCCTACTTTGTTGTTACATGTTACGTCTTTGTATATTGTGTGCCCGTTAACATCGATTTATATTTATTTTATATGTTTTAAGCATTATACAAAAAAATGAGTTAAAATTTAAAATGCAATAATGCTGGCTTTTATATTTATCTGTATAGCTACCTTTGCCAGAATTCTTTTTCTATGACTTTGTATTACTGTGATGCATCCTTTCATCAGCCTGATGAAGATTTTAGCATTTCTTGTAGGAAGTTCCACTAAGCTACATCTCCAGCCTTTTTATTTCATTCATTTATTTATTTATCTTAGAAACAGGGTCTTGCTAAATTGTGAAACTGGTCTCAAACATGCAGTCCTTCTTGCCTCAATGTCTTGAGTCTCTGGGATTATAGGAATGCACCATCACATTCTGGCATTCCACTATT